ACCAGTTCAACGCAGATTCGGAATAAGAACCTCCTTGCTTTCAATCTCTCTTATTTTCGTTTTTATTCTAAGTATTTTAGTCATCTTAATCTTTGTTGTGCGGTTCTCGCAGATAGCCGGTTCCTCTGGAAACTTAGGGTTCTCCCGAAGTTTCCTTTTTTACGATTTATTGACAGTAGGGTGAAATCGACTCCCACAGGCTGAAAAGCTGTTTGCCAAGACTTATTTCTGAAACCCAATCAGCATTTGTGGCGGGACAGCTAATATCGGATAATATTCTTATTTTCCAGGAAATGTTCCATGGTTTAAGAACTAACAAGTCATGTCATGAAAAGTTTATGGCCATGAAAACAGACATGAGTAAAGCATATGATAGGGTAGAATGAGATTTCATTCAGGCAGTACTATGTAAAATGGGATTCGATCTGCACTGGATCAAGATTATGATGGAGTGTATTTCGTCAGTTCAATGTCGGGTTTTACTCAATGGTCAGCCGAGGGGACTCATTATCCCACATAGAGGTTTACGACAAGGAGATCCTTATCTTCTTATTTATTCATATTGTGCACAGAGACTTTAATTACCAATATTAAAAATGCAGAACGACAGAAACAACTATCAGGAATGAAGGTTGCCAGAGCTTGTCCACCGATCTCTCATCTGCTTTTTGTGGATGATAGTTTATTCTTTTTTAAGGCACAACCAGAAGAATGTCTAACCATTCTTAGGATTCTTAAGGAATATGAGGCAGTTTCGGGTCAATTGATAAACTTTCAAAAGTCTTCGATCCAATTTGGACATAAAATTGGAGAAACACATCGCCAGGAGCTGAGGGACATTCTAGGAATACAGAATATAGGAGGAATGAGATCGTATTTTGGACTACCAGAAAGTATGGGCGGTTTTAAGATACAAGTGTCTGGTTTTGTACATGAACGATTGAATAATAGGGTCAATGGTTGGACTTTCAAGTTTTTCACAAAGGGGGGAAAAGAAGTGATTATCAAATCTGTGGTCACAGCACTACCAAATCATGTGATGTCATGTTATCGGCTACCTAAGGCAACTATAAAGAAACTCACAGGTGCATTAGCACAATTTTGGTGGCGTCCAGGGGGATGTACAAGAGGAATGCATTGGAAATCCTGGGACAAAATGTATCTCAATAAAGCCGAAGAAGGAGTGGGTTTTAAAGATATTAAGGATTTTAACACGGCAATGCTTGGTAAGCATTTATGGCGCCTAATTGAGAAGCCAAATACCTTGTTTTCTCAGGTTTTCAAAGGTCGGTACTATAGGAACGCTTCACCTTTAGAGCCGATTAGATCATACTCTACGTTCTATGGGTGGAGGAGTATGATATCTGCTAGATCTCTTGTTAGCAAAGGACTTATCAAAAGGGTGGGATCAGGATCCTCCATATCAGTATGGAATGATCCATGGATTACATCCAACCGCCCGAGACCAGCAAATAAAAACAATCATAATCTTTATCCGGATCTTACTGTGGAGTCGCTTATTAATCCTACCACGCGAAGGTGGAATATACAGGCTATTCAGTCTCTTATTGATCCACAGGATGCAACACTTATTGAGAGTTTACCACTTAGTAGGAATCAAATGGAAGACTGGGATGGATGGCATTTCACGAAAAATGGAAAATACACAGTAAAGTCAATATATCAACTGGAACGGGTTTATCTGAATAAGGTGAGACCACCCCAAATCTTGGGACCCACAGTGGATTTATTAAAAGCACACTATTGGAAGATCCGGTGCCCTCCGAAGATAAAACACTTTCTATGGCAGCTATTATCGGGTTGTATAGCGGTTAAGAAAAATCTGAAAGCACGAGGACTACAAGGTGACACGTGTTGCACCAGATGTGGGGATGAGGAGAATCGGTTAACCATGTGTTTTTCGAATGCCCTCCAGCACGCCAAATCTGGGCATTATCGAAGATACCCTCCAATCTAGAAAGGTTTCCCACTGGCTCTCTTTTTACAAATATGGATCATCTATTTTGGCGGGTGAGACCACAGATGGATGACCATCATTTTGCTTGGATATTGTGGTATATTTGGAAAGCACAGAATAACAAAGCCTTTAGTAATTTGTATGTTGATCCTAATGATACACTGTCAATCTCGGAGGTAGAGTCAACACTTTGGATAGATGCTCAGGTTATACATGACCAAAGGGAAACACAACCGAGAGATGAAACGACCATACCTGCCATACCAGGGCATTGGTGTTGTACATATGGGTCATGGAAAGATAGAGAGGTGTTTTCAGGCCAAGGCTGGTACGCTGGAAGGCTTTGAGGGTTTGATGGGCGCGAGGAATGTCTGCACTAGTATTTCACCTCTCCACTCTGAGGTGGAAGCATTAGTCTGGGCAATAGAGATTATAAGGAATTTGCGTTAATATCATGTTACTTTTGCAACAGATTGTTCTCAATTGGTGAAGATGGTTTCGGAACCAGAAGAATGGCCAGCTTTTGCAACTTATTTGGCAGATATCAAGACGCTTAAAGAAATTTTTCACAGCTCAGAAATCATCCATGTATCAAGAACATATAACTCCAAGGTGGATAGTCTAGCACGCATTGCAAGAAACAAACGTCATTTGTCGTTCACATGGATGCAGAGCTTCCGGTTTGGTTTACAGGGTTATTATGAGTCTGTTTCTATGTTGATGACAAGAAGAAAAAATAAGCCAAATAAGGGACAAGTAACGAGCAAGTAACAAATCAGTAGTTAAAATAAAAATGAACATGATACTTGACTAGTACTTGCGAGTAATAAAATCCTCTTAATTGTTACTTGACTTGATTGTATCAAGTACTTGCTTTTTCAAACCAAGCTGAGTTAAATGCCGAGTAAGCCGGGTATAGAGCAATTGTACCCAACCCTAAGAGCATCCGAAATGGCAGATCCTTGGGGGAATCCTTAGGGAAAAAAAAAGGTATTTCGGATTATATAAGGATATTTCAGATTTTTTCTTTAAAAAAAAACTGACCACTCACGGACCGCCACGTGGGCAGTGGAATCCGCGAATAGTGTAACGATCAATCCTTACATAAGACTTTTATCCTTAAAATCCTTAACTGCTCATGGGATCCATTGAGCACAGATGTCTATGGTGGTCACTGTAGAATGAACACAGATGTCTATGGTGGTCACTGTAGAATGAAAGGTTGTTAGAGGTTACGCGTTGATTGAACGAGTCGTTGCGTGTAAAGCATCATTCAATTTGATTGGTACACATCTCAGTCAACGATGGAACCTACATACTCACTCACCACACAGGACTTCAATTATACACTCATCTCTAATCTTCTCCAAAACAAGACCTCCATTGTTTTTTGTTTTGTTCTTTTGCAATTCCAATGATCTGTTTCATCTTGTTTGTTTTCTCTATTCTTATTTCCACCTCCACCACCGGAGGAGAAGGAGAAACGGCCGCATGCAAACCCACCGAAGTCTTCCTGATCAATTGCGGCGCTACCTCCAACACCTCCGACATCACTGGCCGAACTTGGACGAGGGACCAGAAGGATGATGGGTTGAATTCAGACAACGCGTCATTCCCTTCAAAGGCTTCCAAACTAGAATGGCCGGTTCAGCAGGTTCCTTACAAGACCGTTCGAATATTTCCATCCAAATTTACTTACAGTATTTCAGTCTCTCCCGGCTGGAAATTTGTCCGGTTGCATTTTTACCCGACCCGTTACGGATCCGACCTCGACGCTGCCAAGTCTCTCTTCTCCGTCACTGTGAACGGTTTTAGTCTCCTCAAAAACTTCAGCCCTGGTTTAACAGCAAACGCTTCTAGTAAACCGTTCGTTATCAAGGAGTTTATTGTCCCTGTTTTGGGTGAACACAAGACTCTAAACCTCACATTTAAGCCGTCACCACACAGTCTCGCTTTCATTAACGGCGTGGAGATTGTCTCTATGCCTAACCGGCTTTACACAAAGGGAGGGTTTGATGACCACATAACAGATGTTGGTAGCAACGGTGACTTTGAGATAGACGATACGACGGCACTCGAGACCATTTACCGCGTCAACGTCGCTGGAGATGAGGTCCCTGAGGTAACCGACCCTGGAATGTTCCGACAGTGGCCTTCCGATTCCGAAGTCATACAAAAAAAGAAATTTGTTGATACCGGAATGTATAGTAGGATAGAGGCTTTTGTATTGGAACGTTTCAATTATACTGAGAAAACGCCGGCATGCGTAGCGCCTGAGGCCGTGTACGGAACCTACCGCTCCATTGATAACGTGAAGTACCCTAAGCAAAACCCGGAGTTTAGTTTGACATGGCTCTTCCCAGTGGATGCTGGATTCAACTACCTTGTTAGGCTTCATTTCTGTGACAGTACAGGGAAGAGAGCAGCCTTGCCGAGGTTCTCCATCTCCATCGGCAACAAGATTGCCAACGCTGAAACCGACGTGAGAAACATGAGCGGCGACCCTATGATTCCAATGTATCTAGACTTCAAAACGTTTTTACCCGGCAAAAGTGGAAAGAGACCTAATCTACGACTTGACTTGCATCCTCAAAAAAAGGAAAACATACAGTATTTCCAGTGTGGTCTGAGTGGTATAGAGATTCTCAAGCTTAATAACTCCAACGGTAATCTCGGCGGATCTAATATTAAAAGTCCAATAGCTTTACATGTTCTGAGGATAATCCTCATAGCCATTGGTTCCGCAACTGGACTGGCGACTTTCATCATTGTCCTAATGCGTCAAACTAAGAGGAAGAATAAGAAGGACAATAATGTCGTTGTATTTAAGGTATTGCTAAAACAGTACACTTATGCAGAGTTGAAGAAAATCACGAAATCATTTTCACACACTCTTGGGAAAGGAGGATTTGGAACCGTCTATGGAGGTAATCTCTGTAACGGTGTTAAGGTTGCAGTAAAAGTCATGAAAGATCTGAAGGGAACTGGTGAAGATTTCATGAACGAAATCCGAAGTATGAGTCAAACATCTCATGTAAACATTGTTTCTCTGCTTGGTTTCTGCTATGAAGGTTCAAAAAGAGCAATTGTATATGAGTTTCTGGAGAATGGGTCTCTCGATCAATTCATCTCTGTTGCAAGTCTTAATGTGAAAACATTATATGGAATCGCGCTAGGTATTGCTCGGGGATTGGAATATTTGCATTATGGTTGCAAAACAAGAATTGTGCATTTCGACATTAAACCTCAGAACATTCTCTTAGATGGCAATCTTTGTCCTAAGGTCTCAGACTTTGGACTTGCTAAGCTCTGTGAGAAAAGAGAAAGCATTGTGTCATTGATAGACACAAGAGGAACTATAGGTTACATTGCACCTGAGGTGGTCTCAAGAACGTATGGCGGAGTCTCCCATAAATCAGATGTGTATAGCTTTGGAATGTTGGTCCTCGATATGATTGGTGCAAATAACAAAGAAATATTGGCAACCGCTGCTTCTAACGCTAGTTCGGCTTACTTTCCAGACTGGGTTTACAAGGAACTTGAAAATGGAGAACAAACATGGAGATTTGGTGATGAAATAACCAGAGAAGAAAAAGAAACTGCAAAAAAGATGGTCTTGGTTGGTCTTTGGAGTATTAAACCATGCCCATCATATCGTCCACCGATGAACAAAGTCGTTGAGATGATGGAAGGACGTTTGGATGTTCTTGAAATTCCCCCTAAGCCGTCTGTTCATATTTCCCCAAGGCTTACTACTGAATCTTCCTCGCTTTCAGATAGTAACTGGAACGTTGATTCCACAAATACTTAGCATGATGGAAGTCATACACCTTTTATGATTTGCAAATATATATATTTTTCTTTTGAATGTATAAAAAGAAACGTAAGAGAAAAGGATCATCGTAAATTTGTTTTATGTTTCGTTTCTTTGTTAAGCAATCTTTTTTATTGTAACACTTTTGTTAAGCAATCTAGACATCTATAAAGCTAAGCAAATTCTTTTTTTGTTTCTAAGGAATAAAACCTCAACTCTATAATATAAACAATACAAAATGCATAGGTATGTGTCACATTCACAACTCAATCTAACGAAGATAATCCTTGTTCTAATGAAATCTACTTAAAAATTAAAGAGTAGTTGACTTCAAATTAAATCTATTAAACTGTAAACTTTAAATATACTTCTTATACGATTTAATATTCTTAAGAACTACAGTAAAATTTAAATTTTCATTTATGTTCTTCTTATAATTTTATCTGATTTTGCATGTGTTCTTTTCCAAGACTTTTTTTGAACAATCAAGACTATGAATAAACAAACAATTTTTTAATAAATTGTTTTGTAATATTTTATCATTATAAAATATATAGTTTCACAAGTTAAAGAGTATGTTTAATAAGAACTTGCTCTCTTATTAATCCTTGAGAAAATTCCTCAAAACTCAAGTAGGCAAAACAAAACTCTCAAACTCAATCAATCTCTCAATGCAACAAACGCATTCTTTATATAGGAAACAAAACCTAAACCTAACAAACTTGTCCTAATCCTTTAAAACAAAACCAAGAAGGATAAGGATAACTTATTTCCTAAGTTATTTCAAGTTTATCTTCCAACAATCTCCCCTCTAAACTTGAAATCTCCTTTTGCCAAGTCCTCAACTCCAAGTATCAATCTCATTTCTCTGTAACGTGTCTTGCCAAGTCCTTTTGTCAATATGTCTGCCTTTTGAGCAACTCCTGGTACATGCTGGACCTCGATCAGATCATTGTCAACACATTCCCTAATAAAGTGATACCGACGATGTATATGCTTGCTACGACCATGGAATACCGGATTCTTCATCAATGCTATGGCGCTTTTGTTATCAACCAAAACAGTCACCTTATCACTCCTTTTACCAATGACTTCAGCAATCACATCTTGTAACCAAATGGCCTGCTTTGCTGCCTCTGTAGCTGCCATAAATTCTGCCTCACATGATGAAAGTGCAACTGTCTCTTGCTTCTGGGAACACCAGCTTATAGGCGACTCGTTGATATAGAACACATACCCAGTTGTGCTTCGACCATCATCCTCATCAACATTGTGACTCGCATCACAGAAACCAATTACCTTCAGCTCCTTTCCTTGCTTATCACGCTTGAACCTTAACCCATAACACAAAGTACCCTGCAAATACCTGAGTATCTGCTTTACTGCAGCCGCATGAGACACTCTAGGTTCCTGCATATATCGGCTCATAACTCCAACAGAAAAGGATAAATCAGGTCGCGTATGAAGCAAATATCTGAGGCACCCGATGCTTCTTCTGTACTCTTTCTCGTCTATACTTCTTTCTTCAGGACTCTTTGACATCTTGATGTTCTGTTCCATTGGTACGTGAACTGGATTGCAGTCATGTAAACCAGCCTCTTCTAGTATTCTGCGAGCATATCTCTCTTGACTTAATGTGATCCCATAATCACATTGCTTAACCTCTATTCCCAAGTAATACGTCAAGAGTCCTAGATCACTCATTTCAAATTTTGCAGACATACTATTTTTGAACTCCTTTATCATCTCAAGACTCGAACCTGTGACTAGAAGATCGTCAACGTAAACTCCTATAAGTAATAGATGGTCTTTCTCCTTCCGATGATATAACGCCGGCTCCTTAGAACACTTAGCAAACCGTAGTTCACTCAGAACTTTGTTTAGCTTCTCGTTCCAAGCTCTTGGAGCTTGACGTAAACCATAAAGCGCTTTCTTCAGTCTATACACTTTGCTTTCTTGACCTTTAACTCTGAAACCTTCTGGTTGTATTACATAAACCTCTTCCTTTAAATCCCCATGTAAAAACGCAGTCTTAACGTCCAAGTGATGTACCTGCCAGCCTCTTGAAGCCGCAAGAGCAAGTAGAAATCGGACTGTTTCAATTCGAGCAACAGGTGCGAATACTTCATCAAAGTCAATGCCATGTCTTTGTATGTAGCCTTTTGCCACCAACCTTGCCTTAAACTTGTTAATACTTCCATCCGAATTCCGTTTTATTTTGAACACCCATTTAAGTCCAATTGCTTTTGACCCAGCTGGCAAGTCAACAAGATCCCATGTTTTGTTCTTTTCAATAGACTTAATCTCGTCGTTGCACGCATCCACCCAAACCTTTTGTTGCTTAGCTTCCTCATAACTCCATGGTTCATCATTGATACTTAACAATAAGTACTCTGCTTCAAGCTCAGACAATAGTATATAGTCATCCAAGTATCCTGGCTGTCTTCTTTCTCTCGATGATCGTCTCAACTCAGGTTCTGTGACATCACCAACATCTTCATCATCTTTGCTCAGTTCATCATCCTCCTGTGCTTGCTCTGTTTCAACTTTAGGTATAGTGATGGGTGTTGTGTCTTCTTCATTATCAACTCCATGATTACCAAAGGTTCCTGTGTTTATTCGAAACATTCCACTATCTCTATGGTTGTAAGTCTTCCAATCCCAACTTTTTCCTTCATCAAAAACTACATCACGGCTCACCACTATCCTCTTGTTTGTAGGGTCTAGTAATCTGTAGGCTTTTGAACCTGGTTCTGTTCCGAGGTGGATAAGCATTCTTGATCTACTGTCGAGTTTCTTGAGATGCTGCTGTTCAACCTTTGCATATGACAGACATCCGAAGATACGTAAGTGTCCAATGTTAGGCCTCCTTCCCTTAAACAACTCATATGGTGTTGTGTTCTTCACTGTTCGGCTTGCTGTTCTATTAATGAGATAAGTAGCGTGTCTGATGGTTTCTCCCCACAAGAAACTTGGTAGCTCCATGTGTCTCAGCAAGCTTCTGGTCATATTAAGAAGCGTTCTATTGCGTCGTTCAACAACCCCGTTTTGTTGTGGGGTATACGGAGCTGTAAGGTGCCTTGTTATTCCCTGTGTTTCACAATAAGAGTTGAACTCGTTGGAGGTGAATTCACCACCTCTGTCAGTCCTTAGGGTCTTGATCCCAATTCCTGTTTCTTTCTCTACCACAGCCTTGAACCTTTTGAATTTCTCAAAAGCCTCTCCTTTCTCATTTAGTAATATACTCCACATGTATCTTGAATGGTCATCAATGAGAACAAACACATACCGTTTTCCTGAAGAAGTTGGTGGAGTAATAGGACCACATAAGTCACCATGGATGAGCTCGAGTTTTGTGTTGGCTCGGTATGTGGTGGACTGAGGGAATGAATGTCTTGCTTGCTTTCCAAGCAAGCAAGATGAGCATATAGTCTTATTACTATCTACTTTAGGCAAGCCATGTACGAGTTCTTTGTTTGCCATCAATCTCATTGTTTCCTTTCCTATGTGACCCATTCTTGCATGCCACTTCAGAGATTCATCCTTTATTGACGCCTGGAAGCAAGAGTAAGCTTCGTTTCTCTCCATATTAACCTTGTATAGTCGATTTCTCGATCTTACTGCTTTTGCTATCAACTTCCCTTCTTTATCTGTTAGTGTGAGGTGTGAATCCTTCATCCTTACTTCACAGCCACCTTCCGTAGCCTGACCTAAACTTATGATATTGCTTTTTAAGCCAGGGATGTAATAGACATCTGCCAGAATCTTCATGTTTCCATCTCTAGTGGCAAAAAGTATTGGACCCTTCCCTTTGATATCTATTCTTGAGTCATCTCCAAACCTTACTTTACCAGTGACCTTCTCATCAATGTACTTAAAGTATCTTTTATCACCAGTCATATGGTTGCTAGCCCCATTGTCTAAGTACCATACTTTATCATCATCTGTATTTGTCTCAAAGCTCTGTGGATTGACCTTTTTTTCGTTAAGATAGACTATTTCGTGGACCATCAACTCCTCTGCTTCTGTTGTGTCATTATCCTTGTTTTGATTCTCCGTTGCTTCCTGCAGTTTCAAGAGGCGATCTGGACATACTGAGGCAAAGTGTCCCATCTTATCACACCTGAAACACATTATTTTTGACATGTCAAAGTTGTCCTGGTAACGATTGTCTTGGTAACGATCTTGATATCTTCCTCTGCCTCTTCCTCGATTGTATGTTCTGTTTCCTCTGCCTCGTCCCCTGAAATTGTTGTTATTCTCACGGAAGTTGCTATTCTCACGGTTGTTTGTTGAGCTTTGTTGAGACTGAGATGAATTCTCATTGTTTACA